TACAGACGTCACTACAACACTACAGGCATCAATACAGCCAACATCACTACAGGCATCATCACTACAACACCACTACAGACATCACTACAACAACACTACAGACATCATCACTACAACACTACAGGCATCACTACAACACCACTACAGACGTCACTACAACAACACTACAGACATCATCACTACAATAACACTACAGACATCACTACAACACCACTACAACAACACCACTACAGACATCACTACAACACTACAGACATCACTACAACACCACTACAGACATCACTACAACACCACTACAGACATCACTACAACACCACTACAGACATCACTACAACACCACTACAGACATCACTACAACACTACTACAGACATCACTACAACACCACAACAGACATAATCACTGCAACAACACTACAGACATCACTACAACAACACTACAGACATCACTACAACAACACTACAGACATCATCACTACAACAACACTACAGACATCACTACAACACCACTACAACAACACCACTACAGACATCACTACAACAACACTACAGACATCACTACAACAACACTACAGGCATCACAACACTACTACAGACATCACTACAACACCACTACAGACATCACTACAACAACACTACAGACATCATCACTACAACAACACTACAGACATCACTACAACAACACTACAGACATCATCACTACAACAACACTACAGACATCATCACTACAACAACACTACAGACGTCACTACAACACCACTACAGACATCACTACAACACCACTACAGACATCACTACAACAACACTACAGACATCACTACAACAACACTACAGACACCATCACTACAACAACACTACAGACATCACTACAACACCACTACAACAATACCACTACAGACATCACTACAACAACACTACAGACATCACTACAACAACACTACAGACATCATCACTACAACAACACTACAGACATCACTACAACAACACTACAGACATCATCACTACAACAACACTACAGACATCATCACTACAACAACACTACAGACGTCACTACAACACCACTACAGACATCACTACAACAACACTACAGACATCATCACTACAACAACACTACAGACATCATCACTACAACAACACTACAGACGTCACTACAACACCACTACAGACATCACTACAACAACACTACAGACATCATCACTACAACAACACTACAGACATCATCACCACAACACTACAGACGTCACTACAACACCACTACAGACATCACTACAACAACACTACAGACATCATCACTACAACAACACTACAGACATCATCACTACAACAACACTACAGACATCATCACTACAACAACACTACAGACATCATCACTACAAAAACACTACAGACACCATCACTACAACACCACTACAGGCATCATCACAGGTTCACACGCTCGGCGCGCGTGCCAGGGTCACACTCAGGGTGAGTGTTTGGGTCAGGCTCAACGTGAGCGTGTGCCTGAGGCTCAGAATACTGAGCCTCAGCTCCAGACCTCCAACTCATTCTCAGAGTGTAAGCAGCAGCCACCGGATCATCAGCGTACACGACATGGTGGCCGCCCCTCGACCGTACCCTGGCATCGATCAGCCTCCAATGAGATTCCTCTGGTACAGCGGCGGACAGCTTCTGGAACTGGGTGATCGAAGGTGATGCTATGTAATGCGGTAGCCGGAGGGACATCCCTGTTGCGTGCCATGGTGAACAGGGAATGGCTCCGACTCACGGCCACGTAGAGTTTTACCCGGGCCCGCCCACCGTCACGAAGGGCCTTAATGATCGTGAGCGGACGGTCTGGGACTCCGAAAGCACGAAGAACTGCTCACAGCCAATGGCCTGTCGATGGTACCCGCAGGCCTTGACCAGGTCAATAAAGCGGAGACGCAGGTCCTGCTGAAATTCCCTGCACCTCTGCTGCAGGCAGACGGACAGAAAACACGGCATCCGTGCAGGACCGCCGTTTTTCCTGAAACCGCATCGGGGCTCCGCAAGCCTCTCGCTCAGCGTGCCTGGCGAAGGGGCGATGTTGAACAATCCTTGCCAGGACCTTTCGCGGCGCACTGACGAGCGAGATGCCCCTGTAGTTGTTACAGTCTGTGCGGTCCCCCCTTCTAAAAAGAGGGGGAACCACCAGGGCATCCTTCCAATCCTGCGGAACCCGTCCAGAGCCCATCATTTTTGTTAATTTGTCGTCCTTCCCCCGGAACCTCCGATTAGCACGGTTGGCCCAATCAGCCAGCCACTCGCAGGGGGTGGCCACTTCCAACAATACTTGAGGCACCGCAGCCTCAGCAGGGTCATCCCCCCCCCCGCTTTGCCCCACGAGCTCACAGAAAATGCTCGGCAAACCTGCGAAACCTGTAAACCGAGGGTCGGAGGTCGGATCACCGTTCTTTCCCTTGAGGGTGGCGATTGGGGCGGCGCTGCACGTGACTTACTGTTGGTGATTTGCGATCTCCGGGCCACCGAGGCAGACTCCATCTCCTCAGCGACCCGCGACCACCGCCCCAAATCCTTGCAGCGCCTCACGGCTCTCCGAACCCCCGAGCGAAGGCTGCGGTAAGCCTCCTCATTCTCCGACGTGGGGTGCTGTAGATGGTGGAGAAGCTGGCTTTGCTGCTCCGCTTTCAACGCAGCCGGAACACCGCCTCCGTTTGCCAGGATGTCCGGGGACGGTCTGGACCGCGCACCCGAAAGCAGCAACTGCAGCTGCGTGGGCCACAGTCCTAAACCTCGCCCATTTCCCCTCGGCATCAGGAGGAGGGGGACAGGGGGCGATTCCAACCCTATTGTCCAAGCGATGATGATGTTATCACTTGCAACCTTCATCAGGAGCTAGCTGAGAGCAGGCTATATTGTGAGCCTGAGTGGGGTCCAAGATGGACGGAAGAATGGCAGGCGCATCTTAACGATAATTATCGGCCTTGTCATCCGTAAGATGCGTCTGTTATAATCGGTGCGCAGATCAGCTCCACGGTAGGTCCTGGTGTCAAGGACATGGGTCCGCATCATGCGCCATTCCTTCACTATGTAGTCCAGCAGATGTTCTTGCTTGGACCCGGCGTGCATCCACGATGTTGTGTTGTAGATGATGCGCCAATGCCGGAACAGCGTGGTTGGTAATTACAAGCCCATGGGCTGCACAGAAGTCTAGCAGCCTCCTACCGTTGTTATTGAGCTGATCTGCTCCATGCCTTTAAATTACTCCGGACCAGGTGCCAGCGTCAGGAACCACTCGGGCATTGAAGTCGCCCAACAAGATGGCTTTATCCCGAGGGGCCACTTTAGCCAGCGTCTGTGACAGGAGGTCATAGAATGCATCTGACTCATCGGCTTTGCCTGCATCCCTCCACGGATATTCATCTTCGGTGGGGGCATAAGTAACCACGACCACCATTCCTCGCCTCCAGTTGATGGGAAGGCGAGCCCAAAGTAGCCTGGGGCTTACAGCTTCCCACACCTCACCGCCACGCTCCCACGCCCCCTTCATTCTTTTGTTCAAAAGAAGAGCCACACCCTGTTGTTTGGCAGTCTCCTGCTCCGAGTAGAGGACTGTCCACCCATCATGGTGGCAGGAGCCAGAGCCGGTACACCGGACCTCACCCACTCACTCACCCATCCACCCACTCACTCACTCACTCACCCACTCACCCATCCACCCACTCACTCACTCACTCACCCACTCACCCATCCACCCACTCACTCACTCACTCACCCACTCACCCATCCACCCACTCACCCACTCACCCACTCACCCATCCACCCACTCACTCACCCACCCACCCCCCCACTCACCTGCCCGTGTGATCCTCCTCCCCTCCGTTTCCCTTCTCTCCGTCCTCAGCAGAAGCGGTTGCCACACCTCCGTGTCCACGGCTCCACCACCACCTCCACCACCACCACCACCATCTCCTCCCCTACCAAATCTTCGACCACCACCACCACCTCTTCCTCCTCCTCCTCCTCCTCCTCCTCCACCACCACCACCACCACCTCCTCCATCGCCACCACCACCACCATCGCCTCCCCCACCAAATCTTCGACCACCGCCTCTGGTTGTGGGCCCATCCCACCGCTGCTGCTGCTGCTGCTGCTGCTGCCCGTGATCTACCACTACCTGACCCTGTGGCCTCACCAGTGGCCAACTGAGCGGTACCCTTGTGACCGGTACCGCTGTGACCGGTACCCCTGTGACCGATACCCCTGTGACCGGTACCGCTGTGACCGATACCCCTGTGACCGGTACCCCTGTGACCGGTACCCCTGTGACCGGTACCCCTGTGACCGGTACCCCTGTGACCGGTACCCCTGTGACCGGTACCCCTGTGACCGATACCCCTGTCCGATCGCGATCGTTTTTCCTCCATCGTCCGTGGTGATGTTGGTGGTGGTGATGATGCTGCTGCTGCTGCTGCTGTTGTTGATGTTGTTGTTGATGATGATGGTGACGATCAAAAACGATTGTTCTCTCTGCTGCGCCGCCGCCACCGCCGCCACCACCGCCACCACCACCACCACCACCACCACCACCACCACCACCGCCACCACCGCCACCACCACCGCCACCACCACCACCGCCACCACGGCGACACAGCCTGCCCTCGCGAGGGGCGACCGCGGGTTCCGCCAGAGCGGAGACGGAGCAGCAGGCGGAACGGCAGCGGTGCCGGCGGGGTGGACGCTCACGGTGGTGGTGGTGGTGGTGGTGGATCCGCAAGGGGCAGCGGTCATCCGGGTAGATTCCACCACCACCGTCACCGTCACCACCGTCACCACCACCACCGTCACCGTCACCACCACCACCGTCACCGTGATGTTGAGCAGTTCGGCTGGCGGTTGTGGCGGTGTCCGTGGTTGTGCTGCTATCGTCGTCGTTGTTGTTGTTGTTGTTGGTAGCTGCACGGTTGTTGTTGTTGTTGTTGGTGGTGGTGGTTGTGGTGGTTGTGGTGGTTGTGGTGGTGTTGTTAACGATATCCCACGTCGTGCCGCCGCCGCCGCCGCCGCCGCCGCTGCTGCCGGCGGTTGCCGCCACTGTCGGCGGATGCGGAGGCGGAGGAGGAGGAGGAGGCGGAGGAGGAGGAGTGGTGGCGCCGCGGTAGACGCACGACTCCGAGCCGCCGCTGCCCAGGGAGCCCCCGCGCATTGTCGAACCGCTGCCGTAGACTCCGCGGTGGCTGCCGTAACTTCCTCCGCCCGGCGTGGCCAAGCCCGCATCCTCCGCATCCTCCTCCTCCTCATCCTCCTCCTCCTCCTCCGCCTCCTCATCCTCCTCCGACGACGACGCCGATGCCGACGCCGACGCCGCCGAGAGCAGCGACGAGGTGGACCACGAGGATGAGGAGGAGGAGGCGGAGGAGGTGGAGGAGGCGGAGGAGGAGGTGGAGGCGGCTGCTGCGGCGGCGCGAGGGCAGCGCGAGCAGCCGCGGAATCCATCGCCCGTCGTCACCACCACCACCTCCTCCTCCTCGTCCACCTCGCCGTCCACCACCACCTCCACCTCCTCCTCCACCTCCTCGTCCTCCACCCTGCGGCCGCCGTAACCGCGGCGACGGCGCCCGTAGCCCAGGGCGACGGCGGGAGGGCGGCCGTGGGCCGGTGACGAGCGAGCGAGGTGGCGGTGGCGGTGGTGGCGGTGGTGGTGGCGGTGGTGGTGGTGGTGGTGGTGGTGGTGGTGGTGGCGGCTGCCGTGGGCGTGGTGGTGGTGGGTGTGGTGGTGGGTGTGGTGGTGGTGGGTGTGCGCCGTGGGCGGCCGGTGCCAGGCTAGGTGCACGTGGGCGAGGCCCGCGCGGTGTTGGCGCTGCTGCTGCTGGTGGTGTTGGTTGTGGTGTTGTTGGTGGTGGTTGTTGTGGTGTTGGTTGTTGTGGTGTTGGTTGTTGTGGTGTTGGTTGTGGTGGTTGTGGTGGTGGTTGTGGTGGTGGCCACCGAGACCTGCGGGGGGCCCCGAGGGGGGGTCCCCCTCGGGGCCCCCCCAGGTCACTGGGGTCGCGGGGAGTGGGGGGCCACGGGGGGGAGGAGGGGGGGGCTGCCGGGGGGGCGTCAGCGAAGGCGCCGTGCTCTGATGGGGGGAGACACGGGGGGGGGGGGGGAGACACGGGGGGGGAGACACGGAGGGGGAGACACGGGGGGGAGATACGGTGAGACATGGGGGAGACACGGGGGAGACACGGGGGAGACACGGGGGGGAGACACGGGGGGGAGATACGGTGAGATACGGGGGAGACACGGGGGAGACACGGGGGGGAGATACGGTGAGACATGGGGGAGACACGGGGGAGACACGGGGGACACACAGGGGAGACACGGGGGGGAGACACGGGGGGGAGACACGGGGGGGAGACACGGGGGGGGAGACACGGGGGGGAGACACGGGGGACACACAGGGGAGACACGGGGGGGGAGACACGGGGGGGAGACACGGGGGGGAGACACGGGGGGGGAGACACGGGGGGGAGACACGGGGGAGATACGGTGGGAGACGGTGAGACATGGGGGGGACACGGGGGGACATGGGGGAGACACGGGGGAGACACGGTGAGACACGGTGAGACACGGGGGGACACGGGGGAGACACGGTGAGACACGGTGAGACACGGTGAGGCACGGTGAGACATGGGGGAGACACGGTGAGACACGGTGAGACACGGTGAGACACGGTGAGACATGGGGGAGACACGGGCGGACACGGGGAGAAAAAGGTCAGTTGAAATCTTTGGTGATGGTGGTTGTGGTGGTTCCTGGTCTTGGTGGTAGTAGTAGTGGTGGTGGTGGTCGTGATGGTGGTTGTGATGGTGGTTGTGGTGGTAGTGGTGGTGGTAGCGGTGGTGGTTGTGGTGGTGGTGGTAGTGGTGGGAGTGGTTGTGGTGGTGATGGTGGTTTTGGTGGTAGTGGTGGTGGTGGTTGTGGTGGTTATGGTGGTTGTGGTGGTTATTGTGGTGGTTGTGGTGGTAGTTGTTGTGGTGGTTGTGGTGGTGGTAGTGATGGTTGTGGTGGTGGTGGGAGTGGTGGTGGTAGTGGTAGTGATGGTTGTAGTGGTGGTGGTTGTGGTGGTGGTTGTGGTGGTGGTTGTGGTGGTTGTGATGGTTGTGGTGGTGGTGGGAGTGGTGGTGGTAGTGGTAGTGATGGTTGTAGTGGTGGTGGTTGTGGTGGTAGTGGTGGTGGTTGTGGTGGTGGTTGTGGTGGTTGTGGTGGTTGTGGTGGTGGTTGTGGTGGTGGTTGTGGTGGTGGTTGTGGTGGTAGTGGTAGTGATGGTTGTGGTGGTGGTTGTGGTGGTGGTTGTGGTAGTGGTAGTGATGGTTGTAGTGGTGGTTGTTGTGGTGGTTGTTGTGGTGGTAGTGGTGGTGGTTGTGGTGGTTGTGGTGGTAGTAGTGGTGGAGGTTGTGGTGGTAGTGGTGGAGGTTGTGGTGGTAGTGGTGGTGGTTGTGGTGGTGGTTGTGGTGGTGGTTGTGGTGGTTGTGGTAGTGGTGGAGGTTGTGGTGGGAGTGGTGGTGGTTGTGGTGGTAGTGGTGGTGGTGGTAGTGGTGGTGGTTGTGGTGGTGATGGTGGTTGTGGTGGTTGTTGTGGTTGTAGTGGTGGTGGTAGTGGTGGTGGTGGCTCACCCAGGATGTTGAGGCGACACTGAGGGCACGTGTGGTGGTAGTGGTGGTTGTGGTGGGAGTGGTGGTGGTGGTTGTGGTGGGAGTGGTGGTGGTGGTAGTGGTGGGAGTGGTGGTGGTGGTAGTGGTGGTGGTTGTGGTGGTGGCTCACCCAGGATGTTGAGGCGACACTGAGGGCACGTGTGGTGGTGGCTGAGCCACGGGTCGACGCAGCGGCGATGAAAGCGGTGGAGACACGGAACCACCCGGAGCTCCTGGGCGGGGAGGGGGTGAGAGGGTGGGTGAGGGGGTGGGTGAATGAGTGAATTAGTGAGCGAGCGACTAAGCGAGTAACTGACCGAGTGAGTGAGCGAATGAGTGACTGAGCGAGTGAGTGAGCGAGCGAGTGAGCGACTAAGCGAGTGACTGACCGAGTGAGTGAGCGAGTGAGTGACTGAGCGAGTGAGTGAGCGAGCGAGCGAGTGAGCGACTAAGCGAGTGACTGACCGAGTGAGTGAGCGAGTGAGTGACTGAGCGAGTGACTGAGTGAGCGAGCGAGTGACTGACCGAGTGAGTGAGCGAGTGAGTGACTGAGCGAGTGAGTGAGCGAGTGACTGAGCTAGTGAATGAGCGAGTGACTGAGCGAGGGAGCGAGTGACTGAGCGAGTGACTGAGCGAGTGAGTGAGCGAGTGACTGAGCGAGTGAGTGAGCGAGTGACTGAGCGAGTGAGTGAGTGAGTGACTGAGCGAGTGAGTGAGCGAGTGACTGAGTGAGTGAGTGAATGAGTGCGTGAGCGAGCGAGTGGGCGGGTGAGCGAGCGAGTGACTGAGTGACTGAGCGAGTGACTGAGCGAGTGACTGAGCGAGTGACTGAGTGACTGAGCGAGTGACTGAGCGAGTGACTGAGCGTGTGACTGAGCGGGTGAGCGAGTGACTGAGTGAATGACTGAGCGTGTGACTGAGCGGGTGAGCGAGTGACTGAGTGACTGACTGAGCATGTGACTGAGAGGGTGAGTGAATGACTGAGCGGGTGAGCGAGTGACTGAGCGAGTGACTGAGCGGGTGAGCGAGCGACTGACTGAGCGTGTGATTGAGTGAGCGAGCGGGTGAGCGAGCGTGTGAGCGAGCGGGTGAGCGAGCGTGTGACTGAGTGACTGAGTGAATGACTGAGCGGGTGAGTGAATGACTGAGCGGGTGAGCGAGCGTGTGACTGAGTGACTGAGTGAATGACTGAGCATGTGACTGAGTGAGCATGTGACTGAGCGTGTAAGCGAGCGGGTGAGCGAGCGGGTGAGCGAGTGACTGAGTGTGTGACTGAGCGGGTGAGTGAATGACTGAGCGGGTGAGCGAGCGTGTGACTGAGTGACTGAGCGTGTGACTGAGTGACTGAGTGAATGACTGAGCGTGTGACTGAGTGACTGAGTGAATGACTGAGTGTGTGACTGAGTGAGTGAATGACTGAGCGGGTGAGCGAGCGGGTGAGCGAGCGTGTGACTGAGTGACTGAGCGTGTGACTGAGTGAGTGAATGACTGAGCGGGTGAGCGAGCGGGTGAGCGAGCGTGTGACTGAGTGAGTGAATGACTGAGCGGGTGAGCGAGCGTGTGAGCGAGTGACTGAGCGAGTGACTGAGCGAGTGACTGAGCGGGTGAGCGAGCGGGTGAGCGAGGGACTGAGTGACTGAGCGTGTGACTGAGTGACTGAGTGAATGACTGAGCGGGTGAGTGAGTGACTGAGTGAATGACTGAGCGGGTGAGTGAATGACTGAGCGGGTGAGCGAGCGGGTGAGCGAGCGTGTGACTGAGTGATTGAGTGAATGACTGAGCATGTGACTGAGTGAGTGAATGACTGAGCGGGTGAGCGAGCGGGTGAGCGAGTGACTGAGTGAATGACTGAGCGGGTGAGCGAGTGACTGAGCGAGTGACTGAGCGGGTGAGCGAGCGTGTGACTGAGTGACTGAGCGTGTGACTGAGTGAGTGAATTACTGAGCGGGTGAGCGAGCGTGTGACTGAGTGACTGAGTGAATGACTGAGCGGGTGAGCGAGTGACTGAGCGAGTGACTGAGCGGGTGAGCGAGCGTGTGACTGAGTGACTGAGCGTGTGACTGAGTGAGTGAATTACTGAGCGGGTGAGCGAGCGTGTGACTGAGTGACTGAGTGAATGACTGAGCGGGTGAGCGAGCGTGTGACTGAGTGAATGACTGAGCGGGTGAGCGAGTGACTGAGCGAGTGACTGAGCGGGTGACTGAGTGACTGAGTGAATGACTGAGCGGGTGAGCGAGCGGGTGAGCGAGCGGGTGAGCGAGCGTGCGAGCGAGCGGGTGAGCGAGCGGGTGAGCGAGCGTGCGAGCGAGCGGGTGAGCGAGCGGGCGAGCGAGCGGGTGAGCGAGCGGGTGAGCGAGCGGGTGAGCGAGCGGGTGAGCGAGCGGGTGAGTGAGCGGGCGAGCGAGCGGGTGAGCGAGCGGGTGAGCGAGCGGGTGAGTGAATGACTGAGCGGGTGAGCGAGCGTGCGAGCGAGCGGGCGAGCGAGCGGGCGAGCGAGCGGGTGAGCGAGCGGGGTGAGCGAGCGGGTGAGTGAGCGGGCGAGCGAGCGGGTGAGCGAGCGGGTGAGCGAGCGGGTGAGTGAATGACTGAGCGGGTGAGCGAGCGGGTGAGTGAATGACTGAGCGGGTGAGCGAGCGTGTGAGCGAGCGTGTGAGCGAGCGGGTGAGTGAGCGGGCGAGCGAGCGGGTGAGCGAGCGGGTGAGCGAGCGGGTGAGCGAGCGGGTGAGTGAATGACTGAGCGGGTGAGCGAGCGTGCGAGCGAGCGGGCGAGCGAGCGGGCGAGCGAGCGGGTGAGCGAGCGGGTGAGCGTGCGAGCGAGCGGGTGAGCGAGCGGGCGAGCGAGCGTGCGAGCGAGCTCCTGACCTCCCCCTCCACGTAGCGGTCCAGGCAGATGGCACAGTCGGACGTGGACCCCGCCGTGCTCGGCGTGTCGGCCCGGCCCGGGGTCGCGACCCCCCCGCCGCCGCCCCCCCCCCCGGGGTCACGACCCCTGACCCCGCGACCCCTCCGAGGTCGCGGCCTGTACTTGAGCGTCTCCATCTTGCGGATGGCCGCCTCAGTGAGGCGAGCCTGGGTGGTCTGGGGGGAGACAAACGGAGGTGGGGGTGAGGGGGTAGTGGGGGGGGTGGTGGTGGAGGTGAGGGTGGTTGGGGGTGGTGGAGGTGAGGGTGGTGGTGAGGGTGGTGGTGGTGGTGGTGTTGGGGGTGGTGATGGTGATGATGCCACTGCTACTGCTGATGACACTGCTGCTGATGACACTGCTACTGCTGATGCCACTGCTGCTGATGCTGCTGATGACACTGCTGCTGCTGCTGATGCCGCTGCTACTGTAGACACTGCTGCTGCTGATGACACTGCTGCTGCTGATGACACTGCTGCTGCTGCTACTGCTACTGTAGACACTGCTGCTGCTGATGACACTGCTGCTGCTGCTGCTGATGCCACTGCTACTGTAGACACTGCTGCTGCTGATGACACTGCTGCTGCTGATGCCACTGCTGATGACACTGCTGCTGCTGATGACACTGCTGCTGCTGATGACACTGCTGCTGCTGATGACACTGCTGCTGCTGCTACTGCTACTGTAGACACTGCTGCTGCTGATGACACTGCTGCTGCTGATGCCACTGCTACTGTAGACACTGCTGCTGCTGATGACACTGCTGCTGCTGATGACACTGCTGCTGCTGCTGATGCCACTGCTGATGACACTGCTGCTGCTGATGACACTGCTGCTGCTGATGCCACTGCTACTGTAGACACTGCTGCTGCTGATGACACTGCTGCTGCTGCTGATGCCACTGCTGCTGATGACACTGCTGCTGCTGATGACACTGCTGCTGCTGATGACACTGCTGCTGCTGCTACTGCTACTGTAGACACTGCTGCTGCTGATGCCACTGCTGCTGATGCCACTGCTGCTGCTGATGCCACTGCTGCTGCTGATGACACTGCTGCTACTGTAGACACTGCTGCTGATGACACTGCTGCTACTGTAGACACTGCTGCTGATGACACTGCTGCTACTGTAGACACTGCTGCTGATGACACTGCTGCTACTGTAGACACTGCTGCTGATGACACTGCTGCTACTGTAGACACTGCTGCTGATGACACTGCTGCTACTGTAGACACTGCTGCTGATGACACTGCTGCTACTGTAGACACTGCTGCTGATGACACTGCTGCTACTGTAGACACTGCTGCTACTGTAGACACTGCTACTGTAGACACTGCTGCTGATGACACTGCTGCTACTGTAGACACTGCTACTGTAGACACTGCTGCTGCTGATGACACTGCTGCTGCTGATGACACTGCTGCTGCTGATGACACTGCTGCTGCTGATGACACTGCTACTGTAGACACTGCTGCTGCTGATGACACTGCTGCTGCTGCTGATGCCACTGCTGATGCCACTGCTGATGCCACTGCTACTGTAGACACTGCTGCTGCTGATGACACTGCTGCTGCTGCTGCTGCTCCTCACCCGGCTGCGCCGCTGAGCCAGCTTCACTTTGACGAGCAGCAGGAGGCAGACGAGGGCCACGACGAGGAAGAGCGACACAAAGATGGCCACGTCCACGTAGTCCGTGCCCCCAGCCTGCACTCACACACACACAGTGTCACTCAGTCTCACTACACTACTACAATACACACACACACAGTGTCACTCAGTCTCACTCAGTCTCACTACACTACTACACTACACACACAGTGTCACACAGTCTCACTACACTACTACAATACACACACACACAGTGTCACTCAGTCTCACTACACTACTACAATACACACACACACAGTGTCACTCAGTCTCACTACACTGCTAGACTACACACACACACTCACAGTCTCACAGTCTCACTCAGTCTCACTACACTACTACAATACACACACACACACACAGTGTCACTCAGTCTCACTACACTACTACAATACACACACACAGTCTCACTCTACTGCTAGACTACACAAACACAGTCTCACTACACACACAGTCGACGAGGAAGAGCGACACAAAGATGGCCACGTCCACGTAGTCCGTGCCCCCAGCCTGCACTCACACACACACAGTGTCACACAGTCTCACTACACTACTACAATACACACACACACACAGTCTCATTACACTACTACACTACACACACACAGTCTCACTACACTACTACACTACACACACACAGTCTCACTCAGTCTCACTACACTGCTAGACTACACACACACTCACAGTCTCACAGTCTCACTCAGTCTCACTACACACACACACAGTCTCACTACACTACACACACAGTCTCACTACACACACAGTCTCACTACACTCACAGTCTCACTACACACACAGTCTCACTACACACACAGTCTCACTACACACACAGTCGACGAGGAAGAGCGACACAAAGATGGCCACGTCCACGTAGTCCGTGCCCCCAGCCTGCACACACACACACACAGTGTCACTCAGTCTCACTCAGTCTCACTACACTACTACACTACACACACAGTGTCACACAGTCTCACTACACTACTACAATACACACACACACACACAGTCTCATTACACTACTACACTACACACACACAGTCTCACTACACTACTACACTACACACACACACAGTCTCACTACACTACTACAATACACACACACACACACAGTCTCATTACACTACTACACTACACACACACAGTCTCACTACACTACTACACTACACACACACACAGTCTCACTACACTACTACAATACACACACACAGTGTCACTCAGTCTCACTACACTGCTAGACTACACACACACACACACAGTCTCACAGTCTCACTCAGTCTCACTACACTACTACAATACACACACACACACAGTGTCACTCAGTCTCACTACACTACTACAATACACACACACAGTCTCACTCTACTGCTAGACTACACACACACAGTCTCACTACACACACAGTCGACGAGGAAGAGCGACACAAAGATGGCCACGTCCACGTAGTCCGTGCCCCCAGCCTGCACACACACACACACAGTGTCACACAGTCTCACTACACTACTACAATACACACACACAGTGTCACTCAGTCTCACTACACTACTACAATACACACACACACACAGTGTCACTCAGTCTCACTACACTACTACAATACACACACACACAGTGTCACTCAGTCTCACTACACTACTACAATACACACTCACACACACACAGTGTCACACAGTCTCACTACACTACTACAATACACACTCACACACACACAGTGTCACACAGTCTCACTACACTACTACAATACACACACACACACAGTGTCACTCAGTCTCACTACACTACTACAATACACACTCACACACAGTCTCACAGTGTCACTCAGTCTCACTACACTACTACAATACACACACACAGTGTCACACAGTCTCACTACACTGCTAGACTACACACACACTCACAGTCTCACAGTCTCACTCAGTCTCACTACACTACTACAATACACACACACAGTGTCACTCAGTCTCACTACACTACTACAATACACACACACACACAGTGTCACTCAGTCTCACTACACTACTACAATACACACACAGTCTCACAGTCTCACTACACTACTACACTACACACACACAGTCTCACAGTCTCACTCTACTGCTAGACTACACACACACAGTCTCGCTCTACTGCTAGACTACACACACACAGTCTCACTACACACACAGTCGACGAGGAAGAGCGACACAAAGATGGCCACGTCCACGTAGTCCGTGCCACCAGCCTGCACTCACACACACACAGTGTCACTCAGTCTCACTACACTACTACAATACACACACACACAGTGTCACTCAGTCTCACTACACTACTACAATACACACACACAGTGTCACTCAGTCTCACTACACTACTACAATACACACACACACAGTGTCACTCAGACTCACTACACTACTACAATACACACACACACAGTGTCATTCAGTCTCACTACACTACTACAATACACACACACACACACAGTGTCACTCAGTCTCACTCAGTCTCACTACACTACTACACTACACACAGTGTCACTCAGTCTCACTACACTACTACAATACACACACACAGTGTCACTCAGTCTCACTACACTACTACAATACACACACACACACAGTGTCACTCAGTCTCACTACACTACTACAATACACACACACAGTGTCACTCAGTCTCACTACACTACTACAATACACACACACACAGTGTCACTCAGTCTCACTACACTACTACAATACACACACACAGTGTCACTCAGTCTCACTACACTACTACAATACACACACACACAGTCTCACTCAGTCTCACTACACTACTACAATACACACACACACACTCACAGTCTCATTACACTACTACAATACACACACACACAGTCTCACAGTCTCACTCTACTGCTAGACTACACACACACTCACAGTCTCACAGTCTCACTCAGTCTCACTACACACTCACACAGTCTCACTCAGTCTCACTACACTACTACAATACACACACACGCTCACAGTCTCACTCTACTGCTAGACTACACACACTCACAGTCTCACAGTCTCACTCAGTCTCACTACACACTCACACAGTTTCACTCAGTCTCACTACAAACTCACACAGTCTCACTCAGTCTCACTACACTACTACAATACACACACACACTCACAGTCTAACTCTACTGCTAGACTACACACACACTCACAGTCTCACTACACTACTACACTACACAAAGTCTCACTACACTACTACACACACACAGTCTCACTACACTACTACACTACACACACTCACACAGTCTCACTACACTACTACACACACACAGTCTCACTACACTACTACACACACACACACAGTCTCACTACACTACTACACTCACACAGTCTCACTACACTACTACACTACACACACTCACACAGTCTCACTACACTACTACACACACACAGTCTCACTACACTACTACACACACTCACACAGTCTCACTACACTACTACACTACACACAGTCTCACTACACTACTACACTACACACAGTCTCACTACACTACTACACTACACATACACACAGTCTCACTACACTACTACACTACACACAGTCTCACTACACTACTACACTACACATACACTCACAGTCTCACTACACTACTACACACTCACAGTCTCACTACACTACACATATACACACACAGTCTCACTACACTACAACACTACACACACAGTCTCACTACACACACAGTCTCAGTCTCACTACACTACACACACAGTCTCACTACACTACACACACAGTCTCACTACACTACACACACAGTCTCACTACACTACACACACAGTCTCACTACACTACACACACAGTCTCACTACACTACACACACAGTCTCACTCCACTGCTGGGCTAGACTACACACACAGTCTCACTACACTACTACACTACACACAGTCTCACTACACTACTACACTACACACACACACTCAGTCTCACTACACTACTACACTACACACAGTCTCACTACACTACTACACTACACACAGTCTCACTAAACACACACAGTCTCACTCTACTGCAACACTACACACAGTCTCACTACACACACACACACACAGTCTCACTACACTGCTACACTACACACACACAGTCTCACTCCACTGCTACACTACACACACACACAGTCTCACTCCACTGCTACACTACACTACACACAGTCTCACTCCACTGCTACACTACACACACAGTCTCACTCCACTGCTACACTACACACACAGTCTCACTCCACTGCTACACTACACACTACACACAGTCTCACTACACTACACACAGTCGCACTACACTGCTATACTACACACACACAGTCTCACTCTACTGCTACACTACACACAGTCTCACTACACTACACACACAGTCTCACTCCACTGCTACACTACACACTACACACAGTCTCACTACACTACACACAGTCGCACTACACTGCTATACTACACACACACAGTCTCACTCTACTGCTACACTACACACAGTCTCACTACACTACACACACAGTCTCACTCCACTGCTACACTACACACACAGTCTCACTCCACTGCTACACTATACACTACACACAGTCTCACTACACTACACACAGTCGCACTACACTGCTATACTACACACACACAGTCTCACTCTACTGCTACACTACACACAGTCTCACTACACTACACACACAGTCTCACTCCACTGCTACACTACACACACAGTCTCACTCCACTGCTACACACACACAGTCTCACTCCACTGCTACACTACACACACACACAGTCTCACTACACTGCTACACTACACACACACACAGTCTCACTACACTGCTACACTACACACACAGTCTCACTCCACTGCTACACACACACAGTCTTACTCCACTGCTAGACTACACACAGTCTCACTACACTGCTACACTACACACACAGTCTCACTCCACTGCTACACTACACACACACACAGTCTCACTCCACTGCTACACTACACACACACACAGTCTCACTACACTGCTACACTACACACACAGTCTCACTCCACTGCTACACACACACAGTCTTACTACACTGCTAGACTACACACAGTCTCACTCCACTGCTACACTACACACACACACAGTCTCACTACACTGCTACACTACACACAGTCTCACTCCACTGCTACACTACACACTACACACAGTCTCACTCCACTGCTACACTACACACACAGTCTCACTCCACTGCTACACTACACACACAGTCTCACTCCACTGCTACACTATACACTACACACAGTCTCACTACACTACACACAGTCGCACTACACTGCTATACTACACACACACAGTCTCACTCTACTGCTACACTACACACAGTCTCACTACACAACACACAGTCTCACTACACTGCTACACTACACACACAGTCTCACTCCACTGCTACACTACACACACACACAGTCTCACTCCACTGCTACACTACACTACACACACAGTCTCACTCCACTGCTACACTACACTACACACAGTCTCACTCCACTGCTACACTACACTACACACACAGTCTCACTCTACTGCTACACTACACACAGTCTCACTACACACACACACAGTCTCACTACACTGCTACACTACACACACACAGTCTCACTCTACTGCTACACTACACACAGTCTCACTACACACACACACACACAGTCTCACTCCACTGCTACACTACACTACACACAGTCTCACTCCACTGCTACACTACACACACACACAGTCTCACTCCACTGCTACACTACACTACACACAGTCTCACTCCACTGCTACACGACACACTACACACAGTCTCACTCCACTGCTACACTACACACACAGTCTCACTCCACTGCTACACTACACACTACACACAGTCTCACTACACTACACACAGTCGCACTACACTGCTATACTACACACACACAGTCTCACTCTACTGCTACACTACACACAGTCTCACTACACTACACACACAGTCTCACTACACTGCTACACTACACACACAGTCTCACTACACTGCTACACTACACACACAGTATTACTCCACTGCTAGACTACACACTACACACAGTCTCACTACACTGCTACACTACACACACAGTATTACTCCACTGCTAGACTACACACTACACACAGTCTCACTACACTGCTATACTACACACACACAGTCTCACTCTACTGCTACACTACACACAGTCTCACTACACTACACACACAGTCTCACTACACTGCTACACTACACACACACACACAGTCTCACTCCACTGCTACACTACACACACACACAGTCTCACTCTACTGCTACACTACACACAGTCTCACTACACACACACACAGTCTCACTCCACTGCTACACTACACACACACACAGTCTCACTCCACTGCTACACTACACACACACAGTCTCACTCCACTGCTGGGCTAGACTACACACACGCACAGAGGCAGTCTCTAAACTACAACAATTTCTAGTTATTTGTAGCAGGTAAGGCCGAAACCACCGAGTTTGCCATCAGAAGCGACCCTGCCCGACACAGAATTGCAGCAGCTTAACCGAGTGGCCGATGTGATCCCGCCATCACCATCATCATAGTCAATCATCATCGTCAGGGTCCGGGATCGAACCTACGACCCTCCTGTGTACCAGGCGAGGTAGTCAACATCACTATGGATAGAGACGCAGACTCCAAATATACAGCGGCAGGCATAGGTCAGGGTCTGGGATTGAACCCTAGACCTCCTGTGTACCAGGCGAGGTAGTCAACATCTCTACGGAGAGATGCATACTCCAAATATACAGCAGCAGGCATAGGTCAGGGTCTGGGATTGAACCCTAGACCTCCTGTGTAGCAGGCGAGGTAGTCAGCTATCGTCAGGGTGCGGGATCGAACCCACGACCTCCTGTATACCAGGCGAGGTAGTCAACATCTCTACGGAGAGATGCATACTCCAAATATACAGCAGCAGGCATAGGTCAGGGTCTGGGATTGAACCCTAGACCTCCTGTGTAGCAGGCGAGGTAGTCAGCTATCGTCAGGGTGCGGGATCGAACCCACAACCTCCTGTATACCAGGCGAGGTAGTCAACATCTCTACGGAGAGAGAGGGAGAGACACAGACTCCAAATATACAGCAGCAGGCATAGGTCAGGGTCCGGGATCGAACCCACGACCTCATGTATACCAGGCGAGGTAGTCAACATCTCACCACGTGTGTGTACGTACGTGTTTGTGTGCACGTGCGTGTGTACGTGCGTGCTTGTGTACATGCGTACGTGTGTGTACGTGCGTGTGTGTGTACGTGTGTCGCTAACAGCACTTGCCCCTACAGTCTGTCAAGGCTATACGGGGGATCTTTGTCTTTGTCTTTGTACGTGTGTCGTGGTTGAAAGATCTGGGCAAGGTCCCATCGGTGAGCTCCTCCGGCGGGCAAGGCTGCGATGGCTGGGTCATGTAGCCCGCATGCCCAGCCACCGCATGCCGAAACAGCTTTTGTTCGGCCGGATCGAGGGAGCTAAACGGGCTCGGCACGGGCTAGAGAAGAGATGGAGTGATGTGGTACAGGAGGACGTGGAGCTGAGTGGACTTGCCGATGACTGGTACCAGCGGTGTCAAGATCGGCCTCTGTGGAGGAGGCTCGTGAAGGACGATACTGGGCAGTTGGAGGTAGTCGCCCTCCAACAACAACGGAGGGCGGAGGAGCGACGCTCACAACAGCGAGCGGAGCGCCGGGTGGCTAAAGCACAGCAGGTTGGCACAGTATGGGGCACAGGTGGTGCATCAGCCAGTCATCTCAGTCAGTCGACCCGTGGCACCTGCTGGGTCTGCCCCGTGACCTCCTGCCAGCGGGCGTTCGACACTTCACGTGGCCTCAGGGTGCACCTAGCCTGGCACAAGCGTCGTGGTGACGTCACCGCCACTTAGTGGCGAATGGCGGTTGTTGTTGTTGTTGTACGTGTGTGTGCGTGCGTGCGTACGTGCGTGTACGTGCGTGCGTGTGTGCGTGCGTGTGTGTGCGTGTGTGTGTGTGCGTGTGCATGTGTACGTGCGTGTACGTGTGTGTGTGTACGTGTGTGTGTGTGCGTTACCGGCGGTGTGCGTGGCACGATGCGTGTACGTGTGTACGTGTGTGTGTTTGTACGTGTGTGTGTACGTGTGTGTGTGTGTTTGTACGTGTGTGTGTGTGTTTGTACGTGTGTGTGTACGTGTGTGTGTGTGTTTGTACGTGTGTGTGTACGTGTGTGTGTGCGTGTGTGTGTGTACGTGTGTGTGTGCATGTACGTGTGTGTGTGTACGTACGTGTGTGCGTACGTGCGTGCGTGTGTGTGTGTGTGTACGTGTGTGTGTGTACGTACGTGTGTGTGTGTGTGTGTGCGTGTGCGTGTGTACGTACGTGTGTGTGTACGTGTGTGTGTGTGCGTGTGTGTGTACGTGTGTGTGTACGTGTGTGCGTGTGTGTACGTGTGTGTGCGTGTACATGTGTGTGTGCGTGTGTACGTGTGTGTGGGTGTGTACGTGTGTGTGTGTGCGTGTGTGTGTGTGCGTGTGTGTGTGTGTACGTGTGTGCACGTGTGTGTGTGTACGTGTGCGTGTGTGCGTGTGTGTGTGTACGTGCGTGTGTGTGCGTGTACGTGTGTGTGTGCGTGTGTACGTGTGTGTGGGTGTGTACGTGTGTGTGCGTTACCGGCGGTGTGCGTGTGTGTTACCGGCGGTGTGCGTGTGTGTGTACGTGTGTGTGTGTGTGCGTATGTACGTGTGTGTGTGCGTGTGTGTGTGTACGTGTGTGTACGTGTGTACGTGCGTGCGTGTGCGTTACCGGCGGTGTGCATGGCACGATGCGTGCGCGTGCGTGTGTGTGTACGTGTGTGTGTGTACGTGTGTGTACGTACGTGTGTGTGTACGTGTGTGTGTGTGTACGTGCGTGTGTGTGTACGTACGTGTGTGTACGTGTGTGTGCGTGTACGTGTGTGTGTGTGCGTGTGTGTGTGTGTACGTGTGTGTGTACGTACGTGTGTGTGTACGTGTGTGTGTGTACGTACGTGTGTGTGTACGTACGTGTGTGTGTACGTGTGTGCACGTGTGTGTGTGTACGTACGTGTGTGCGTACGTGTGTGTGTGTACGTGTGTGTGCGTGAGTGTTACCGGCGGTGTGCGTGGCACGATGCGTGCGCGTGCGTGTGTGTGTGTGTACGTGTGTGTGTGTGCATGTGTACGTGTACGTGTGTGTGCGTGCGTGTACGTGTGTGTGCGTTACCGGCGGTGTGCGTGTGTGTGTGCGTACGTGTGCGTGTGTGTACGTGTACATGTACGTGTGTGTACGTGCGTGTGTGTGTGTGCGTGTGTGTGTACGTGTGTGTGTGTACGTGTGTGTGTACGTGTGTGTGTGTACGTGTGTACGTGTGTGTGTACGCGTGTGTGTGTACGTGTGTGTGTGTGCGTGTGTGTGTACGTGTGTGCGTGTGTGTACGTGTGTGTGTGTGCGTGTGTGTACGTGTGTGTGTACGTACGTGTGTGTGTACGTGTGTGTTTGTGTACGTGTGTGTGCGTGAGTGTTACCGGCGGTGTGCGTGGCACGATGCGTGCGCGTGCGTGTGTGTGTGTGTACGTGTGTGTGGGTGTGTACGTGTGTGTGTGCGTGTGTGTGTGTGTGTGCGTGTGTACGTGTGTGTGCGTGTGTACGTGTGTGTGGGTGTGTACGTGTGTGTGGGTGTGTACGTGTGTGTGTGTTACCGGCGGTGTGCGTGTGTGTGTACGTGTGTGTGTGTGCGTATGTACGTGTGTGTGTGTGTACGTGTGTGTGTGTACGTGTGTGTGTGTGTGTACGTTACCGGCGGTGTGCGTGGCACGATGCGTGCCCGTGCGCGTCTCTCCGTCTGCACCACGCGCATCACCTTCACCGCCTCGCCGCCACGCACGCAAACCACAGGGCGCGGAAGAGGCTCCACTCCCTCCTCGTTCAGCTACACACGGCAGGGGTACACGGAGGGGGTACACGTAGGGGGTACAGAGAAGGGGGTACACAGAGAAGGGGGTACACAGAGGGGGTACAAGGTCACTCAATGACTCAATCACTCACTCACTCAGTCACTCACTCAATCACTCACCCAACCAATCACTCTCCCACCCACTCACTCAGCCACACAATCACTCACCCAACCAATCAGTCACTCAATCACTCACTCAGTCACTTACGCACCCACTCACTCAGCCACACAATCATTCACCCACCCACTCACTCGGCCACACAATCATTCACCCACTCACTCAGTCACTCATTCACTCAGTCACTCACTCACTCACCCACTCAGTCACTCACTCACTCAATCACCCAACCAATCAGTCACTCAATCACTCACTCAGTCACTTACGCACCCACTCACTCAGCCACACAATCATTCACCCACCCACTCACTCAGCCACACAATCATTCACCCACTCACTCAGTCACTCATTCACTCAGTCACTCACTCAGTCACTCACCCACTCAGTCACTTACCCAACCAATCAGTCACTCAATGACTCACTCAGTCACTCACTCAGCCACTCAATCATTCACCCACCCACTCAGCCACACAATCATTCACCCACCCACTCAATCAGTCACTCAATTACCCAACCAATCACTCTCCCACCCACTCACTCAGCCACACAATCACTCACCCACCCACACACTCACTCACTCAACCAATCAGTCACTCAATCACTCACTCAGTCACTTACGCACCCACTCACTCAGCCACACAATCATTCACCCACCCACTCACTCAGCCACACAATCATTCACGCACCCACTCACTCAGTCACTCATTCACTCAGTCACTCACTCAGTCACTCACCCACTCAGTCACTCACCCAACCAATCAGTCACTCAATCACTCACTCAGCCACTCAATCATTCACCCACCCACTCACTCAGCCACACAATCATTCACCCACCCACTCAATCAGTCACTCACTCACCCAACCAATCACTCTCCCACCCACTCAGCCACACAATCACTCACCCACCCACACAGTCACTCACTCACTCAATCACCCAACCAATCAGTCACTCAATCACTCACTCAGTCACTTACGCACCCACTCACTCAGCCACACAATCATTCACCCACCCACTCACTCGGCCACACAATCATTCACCCACTCACTCAGTCACTCATTCACTCAGTCACTCACTCACTCACTCACCCACTCAGTCACTCACTCATCCAACCAATCAGTCACTCAATCACTCACTCAGTCACTCACTCAGCCACTCAATCATTCACCCACCCACTCACTCAGCCACACAATCATTCACCCACCCACTCAATCAGTCACTCACTCACCCAACCAATCACTCTCCCACCCACTCACTCAGCCACACAATCACTCACCCACCCACACATTCACTCACTCACTCAACCAATCAGTCACTCAATCACTCACTCAGCCACTCAATCATTCACCCACCCACTCACTCAGCCACACAATCATTCACCCACCCACTCACTCAGTCACTCATTCACTTAGTCACTCACTCAGTCACTCACCCACTCAGTCACTCATCCAACCAATCAGTCACTCAATGACTCACTCAATCACTCACTCAGCCACTCAATCATTCACCCACCCACTCACTCAGCCACACAATCATTCACCCACCCACTCAATCAGTCACTCACTCACCCAACCAGTCACTCTCCCACCCACTCACTCAGCCACACAATCACTCACCCACCCACACAGTCACTCACTCACTCACCCAACCAATCAGTCACTCAATCACTCACTCAGTCACTTACGCACCCACTCACTCAGCCACACAATCATTCACCCACCCACTCACTCAGCCACACAATCATTCACCCACCCACTCACTCAGTCACTCATTCACTCAGTCACTCACTCACGGACTCACTCACCCACTCAGTCACTCACCCAACCAATCAGTCACTCAATCACTCACTCAGCCACTCAATCATTCACCCACCCACTCACTCAGCCACACAATCATTCACCCACCCACTCAATCAGTCACTCACTCACCCAACCAATCACTCTCCCACCCACTCACTCAGCCACACAATCACTCACCCACCCACACACTCACTCACTCAACCAATCAGTTACTCAATCACTCACTCAGTCACTTACGCACCCACTCACTCAGCCACACAATCATTCACCCACCCACTCACTCAGCCACACAATCATTCACGCACCCACTCACTCAGTCACTCTTTCACTTAGTCACTCACTCACTCACCCACTCAGTCACTCACTCATCCAACCAATCAGTCACTCAATAACTCACTCAGTCACTCACCCATCCACTCAGTCACTCACTCACTCACCCATCCACTCACTCAGCCACTCAATCATTCTCACCCACCCACTCAGTCACTCAATCACCCACCCACCAACTCACTCAGTCACTCACCCACCCACTCAGTCACTCATTCACTCACCCACCCACCTACCCACTCACTCAATCACTCACTCATCCACTCACTCAGCCACTCAATCACTCTCACCAACCCACTCAGTCACTCAATCATTCACCCACCCACTTATTCACTCACCCACCTACTCAGTGACTCATTCACTCACTCAGTCACTCACTCACCATTCATTTACTCACTCACTCAACCACTCACTCACTCAACCACTCACTCACTCAGCCACTCAACCACTCACTCACTCAGCCACTCACTCACCCACTCACTCACTCAGCCACTCAACCACTCACTCACTCACTCAACCACTCACTCACTCAACCACTCACTCACTCAGCCACTCAACCACTCACTCACCCACTCACTCACTCAGCCACTCAACCACTCACTCACTCAGCCACTCAACCACTCACTCACTCAGCCACTCAACCACCCACTCACTCAGCCACTCAATCACTCACCCACTCACCCACCCACCGACTCACTCACTCACTCAGCCACTCACTCACTCAGCCACTCAACCACTCACTCAGCCACTCAATCACTCACTCAGCCACTCAAACACTCACTCACTCAACCACCCACTCACTCACCCACTCAACCACTCACTCAGCCACTCAATCAACCACTCACTCAGCCACTCAACCACCCACTCACTCAGCCACTCAATCCTCACCACTCAGCCACTCACTCAGCCACTCAATCAACCACTCACTCAGCCACTCAACCACCCACTCACTCAGCCACTCAATCAATCACGCACTCAGCCACTCAACCACTCAATCAATCACTCACTCAGCCACTCAATCAATCACTCACTCACCCACTCACTCACTCACCCACTCACTCACTCACCCACTCACTCACTCACTCACCCACCCACCCACTCGCCCACCCACTCACCCACTCACTCACTCACCCACCCACTCACTCACTCACTCACCCACTCACTCACTCACCCACTCACTCACTCACTCACCCACTCACTCACTCACCCACTCATTCACCCACCCAACCACCCAGTCAGCGGGTGAATGGGTCGACAAATTGATGGGTCAACAGGTCAGTGGGTGAATGGGTCAACCGGTCGATGGGTTAAGGGGTCAACAGGTCGATGGGTCAGCAGGTGAATGGGTCGACAGGTCAATGGGTGAACGGGTTAAAGGGTCAAGGGGTCAAGAGGTCACCTGCTCGGCGGCCGCGGCGTTGTCGGTGACGTCAAAGATGACCGCCGTGGCGCCCCTCTCCATCGCCCTCTTGGCCTGGGGGGGGGGGGGGGTCACGAGGAGGGGGTGAGGTCACCCACTCACACACCCACTCACTCACTCACCCACTCACCCACTCACCCACTCACTCACTCACCCACCCACCAACCCACCCACTCACCCACTCACTCACTCACCCACTCACTCACTCACCCACTCACTCACTCACCCACCCACCAACCCACCCACTCACCCACTCACTCACTCACCCACTCACTCACTCACCCACTCACTCACTCACTCACCCACTCACTCACTCACTCACCCACTCACTCACTCACCCACTCACTCACTCACCCACTCACTCACTCACCCACCCACCCACCCACTCACCCACCCACCCACTCACCCACTCACTCACTCACCCACTCACTCACTCACTCACCCACCCACCCACTCACCCACCCACCCACTCACTTACCCACTCACTCAGCCACTCACCCAGCCACTCACTCAGCCACTCACTCAGCCACTCACTCAGCCACTCACCCACTCACTCACCTACTCACTCACTCACTCAGCCACTCACCCACTCACTCACACACTCAGTCAGCCACTCACCCACTCAGCCACTCACTCACTCATTCACCCACTCACTCACCCACTCATCCACTCACTCACCCACTCACTCACCCACTCACCCAGCCACTCACCCAGCCACTCACCCACCCACTCACCCACCCACTCACTCACTCACCCACCCACCCACTCACCCACCCACCCACTCACCCACCCACTAACCCACCCACTCACTCACCCACTCACTCATGCACCCACCCACTCAACCACTAACCAACTCACTCACTCACCAACTCAATCACCCACTCACTCACCCACAAATTAGTTACCCTGGTTGCCAGTGGGGATACAAAGGCGGCCGGACTTGGTGCTGGCCACCCAACCCTTGTGTGTGCCACAGTGCCGGTAACCTTCATAGACGCTGCTGCTGCTACTCGCTACTAACAGCACTTGCCCCTACAGCCCTGTTAGAGGCTACACAGGGGAGCTTTGTCTGTGTATAGGTGCTGCTGCTACTCGCTACTAACAGCACTTGCCCCTACAGTCTGTTAAGAGGCTACATGGGGGAGCTTTGTCTGTGTGTGTGTAGGTGCTGCTACTCGCTACTAACAGCACGTGCCCCTGCAGCCCTGCTAGAGGCTACACGGGGGACCTTTGTCTGTCTCTGTGTGTAGGTGCTGCTACTCGCTTCTAACAGCACTTGCCCCTACAGTCTGTTAGAGGCTACACGGGGGAGCTTTGTCTGTGTGTAGGTTCTGCTCGCTACTGACAGCACTTGCCCCTACAGCCTGTTAGAGGCTACCTGGGGGAGCTTTGTCTGTGTGTGGGTGCTGCTCGCTACTAACAGCACTTGCCCCTACAGCCCTGCTAGAGGCTACCTGGGGGACCTTTGTCTGTGTGTGTAGGTGCTGCTACTCGCTACTAACAGCACTTGCCCTATAGCCTGCTAGAGGCTACCTGGGGAAGCTTTGTCTGTGTGTAGGTGCTGCTCGCTACTAACAGCACTTGCCCCTACAGCCTGCTAGAGGCTACCTGGGGGACCTGTGTCTGTGTGTGTAGGTGCTGCTACTCGCTACTAACAGCACTTGCCCCTACAGTCTGTAGGAGGCTACACAGGGGAGCTTTGTCTGTGTATGGGTGCTGCTCGCTACTGACAGCACTTGCCCCTACAGCCTGTTAGAGGCTACCTGGGGGAGCTTTGTCTGTGTGTGTAGGTGCTGCTCGCTACTGACAGCACTTGCCCCTACAGCCTGCTAGAGGCTACCTGGGGGAGCTTTGTCTATGTCTGTGTGTAGGTGCTACTCGCTACTAACAGCACTTGCCCCTACAGCCTGCTAGAGGCTACCTGGGGGAGCTTTGTCTGTGTGTGTAGGTGCTGCTCGCTACTGACAGCACTTGCCCCTACAGCCTGCTAGAGGCTACCTGGGGGAGCTTTGTCTATGTCTGTGTGTAGGTGCTACTCGCTACTAACAGCACTTGCCCCTACAGCCTGCTAGAGGCTACCTGGGGGAGCTTTGTCTATGTCTGTGTGTAGGTGCTGCTCGCTACTAACAGCACTTGCCCCTACAGTCTGTTAGAGGCTACCTGGGGGACCTGTGTCTGTATGTGTAGGTGCTGCTCGCTACTGACAGCACTTGCCCCTATAGCCTACTAGAGGCTACCTGGGGGAGCTTTGTCTGTGTGTATAGGTGCTGCTCGCTACTAACAGCACTTGCCCCTACGGTATGTTAGAAGCTACCTGGGGGAGCTTTGTCTGTGTGTGTAGGTGCTGCTCGCTACTGACAGCACTTGCCCCTACAGCCTGCTAGAGGCTACCTGGGGGACCTGTGTCTGTGTGTGTAGGTGCTGCTCGCTACTAACAGCACTTGCCCCTACAGTCTGTGCCAACTTGCTGATAACAAGTAGCAAGTTGGCACAGCAGGGGGCACGGGTGGTGGTGGTGCATCGGCCACTCGTCTCAGTCAGGCGACACGTGGCACCTGCAGGGACTGTCACGTGACCTCCTGCACCTAGCCTGGCACAGCAGTCAACCTATGGCATATGTGTGTGTCTGTGTGTGTGTGAGTCTCTGTGTGTGTGTGTGAGCCTGTGTGTGTGTGTGTCTCTGTGTGTGTGTGTGAGTCTGTGTGTGTCTGAGTCTGTGTGTGTCTGAGTCTGTGTGTGTCTGAGTCTGTGTGTGTCTGAGTCTGTGTGTGTGAGTCTGTGTGTGTGAGTCACTGTGTGTGAGTCACTGTGTGTGTGAGTCTGTGTGAGTGAGTCTGTGTGTGTGAGTCTGTGTGTGTGTGAGTGTGTGTGAGTCTGTGTGTGTGTGAGTCTGTGTGTGTGAGTCTGTGTGTGAGTCTGTGTGAGTGTGAGTCTGTGTGTGTGTCTGTGTGCGTGTCTGTGTGTTCGTGTCTGTGTGTCTGTGTGTGTGTGTGAGTCTATGTGTGTGAGTCTGTGTGAGTCTGTGTGTGTGTGAGTCTGTGTGAGTCTGTGTGTGTGTGAGTCTGTGTGTGTGAGTCTGTGTGTGTGTCTGAGTTTGTGTGTGTGTGAGTCTGTGTGTGTGAGTCTGTGTGTGTGAGTTTGTGTGTGTGAGTCTGTGTGTGTGAGTCTGTGTGTGTGAGTCTGTGTGTATGTGAGTCTGTGTGTGTGTGAGTCTGTGTGTGTGAGTCTGTGTGTGTGTGAGTCTGTGTGTGTGTCTGTGTGAGTCTGTGTGTGAGTCTGTGTGTGTCTGTGTGTGTGTGTGTGAGTCTGTGTGTGTGAGTGTGTGTGTGAGTGTGTGTGTCTGTGAGTCTGTGTGTCTGTGTGTGAGTCTGTGTGTGTGAGTCTGTGTGTGTGAGTCTGTGTGTGTGTGTGAGTCTGTGTGTGTGTGTGAGTCTGTGTGTGTGTGAGTCTGTGTGTGTGTGTGTCTGTGTGTGAGTAATTGCGACCGGAAGCAGTCCCCCTGCCTCTCCCTGCCCCCTCGTTCTCACACAAAACACTTCAAAGGGCCCAGCCGACACAGCAGCAGCAGCATCAGCAGACAAACCAGACCAGGCGGTTCTATGAGACTGGGCTACACGGGGGAGGGGGAGGAGGAGGGGGTGGGGGGTGGGGGGGGCGAGGCAGGGGCAGAGTTCATAGACGGGGGGTGGGGTCAGAGTGGTTGGAGGTGCGGTGAGCACGCTGGGCCTTGCCAGGAACCCTGCACTGCTGTGCCAGGCTAGGTGCACGAGGAGGTCACGTGACAGACCCAGCAGGTGCCATGGGTTGCACTGCTGTGCCAGGCTAGGTGCATGAGGAGGAGGTCACGGGACAGACCCTGCAGGTGCCATGGGTTGTACTGCCGTGCCAGGCTAGGTGCACCAGGAGGAGGTCACGTGACAGACCCAGCAGGTGCCATGGGTTGACTGCTGTGCCAGGCTAGGTGCACGAGGAGGTCACGGGACAGACCCTGCAGGTGCCACGGGTTGACTGCTGTGCCAGGCTAGGTGCATGAGGTCACGTGACAGAGCCTGCAGGTGCTATGGGTTGCACTGCTGTGCCAGGCTAGGTGCACGAGGAGGTCACGTGACAGACCCAGCAGGTGCCGTGGGTCGTACTGCTGTGCCAGGCTAGGTGCACGAGGAGGTCACGTGACAGACCCAGCAGGTGCTATGGGTTGTACTGCCGTGCCAGGCTAGGTGCACCAGGAGGAGGTCACGTGACAGACCCAGCAGGTGCCATGGGTTGACTGCTGTGCCAGGCTAGGTGCACGAGGAGGTCACGGGACAGACCCTGCAGGTGCCACGGGTTGACTGCTGTGCCAGGCTAGGTGCATGAGGTCACCGGACAGACCCTGCAGGTGCTATGGGTTGCACTGCTGTGCCAGGCTAGGTGCATGACGAGGAGGTCACGGGACAGACCCTGCAGGTGCTATGGGTCGCGCTGCTGTGCCAGGCTAGGTGCACGAGGAGGTCACGGGACAGAGCCTGCAGGTGCCATGGGTTGTACTGCTGTGCCAGGCTAGGTGCATGAGGAGGTCACGTGACAGACCCAGCAGGTGCCGTGGGTCGTACTGCTGTGCCAGGCTAGGTGCATGACGAGGAGGTCACGTGACAGACCCTGCAGGTTCCGCGGGTCGCGCTGCTGTGCCAGGCTAGGTGCACGGGGAGGAGGTCACGGCAGCACAACCCACTCCACTCTCTCCACGGGTGCACACACAGTGCCGGCCAATCACAGGCGCCGCTCGCTCAGGGCACGTGACCCCGTAGACGCCCCACACACGCCCGAGCCTCTGCCGTGTTTGCCCTTAGTTCAGACACGTCGTCATCACCACCACCATCACCACCACCGCCACCATCACCACCATCACCACCACCACCACCGCCATCACCACCGTCACCGCCACCATCACCACCACCACCATCACCACCACCGCCACCGCCACCACCACCACCACCATCACCACCACCGCCATCGCCATCGCCACCGCCACCGCCATCACCACCGCCACCACCACCGCCATCATCACCACCACC